GGACGGCCGGCTCCGGCCCCGAGATGTGAGGGGAAAAACCAAACCCAGTGCCTTTTTTTTTTAAAAAAAAATAATGTTTATGGTCGCATCATGAAATCCATGGTGTGTTTCCTTCTATTGTAAAGTATTTAAGCCCGGTGGTTACCTGCAGTGACTCCGCCGACCTCCGTTTCCAGCGGACTGGGGCAGGATGTACATTTCCAAAGGTGACGTTAACGCTGTAATGCCGACATAATGCCAGAATTCAAAACCTCTGGTTACATTTACTGTATTCTTAGTATTTCTGTTGCAGTTTCACTGTTGTATTTAAACAAATAAGCAGGTTTATTAATTCTTTCAACTGTGTAGCAATGATCAGATGTTGGAAAGACTTTTAACTCTTGCTGAAGTGGCAGTGGGTATGGAAGGCACCTTCCAGACTGGCTTTTCCCCCTGCCAAGAGCAGGCTGCAGACTGCTGACACCCTGAGCTCTCGCTTTGTGAAGATGTGTCAGTTCTAGCTGTGGGAGAACGCTGGAGAGTGGCGTTGTGTCAGCTGGGTGATTTATAGCGAGAACCGATAGTGATATGTGCTTTTTATATGGACCAGCTTTGTCTCATTCCTGCCTTTCTCTTTTTCGAGCAGCAAACACTGTTTCTGATGTGAGCTCGTAGAAGGTGTTCTGGTGGTGGCTGCATTGGTGTGATGTCTCACAGGTGAAGTACCTAGTGAGTAAACGTCTCAATAAGGAACAGTAGACCTTTAGGTGGCTTTGCTCTGTTTATTGAGCCGTGCACAAACATTTTCCTGTTAATTCTGTAAAATGCATGATGACATTTACCATTACCATTCTTTTCACGGTCAGTACTGAGGTGCTATGGTGAACTGTAAGTACATAAGCGGTACTTATATTCAGCTCATACCATTGCTCTGAAGGTCAGCGTTTAGTGTGTGACAAGCATACAGGACAAAATAATTTTTGGCTAGCAAAAGGTTGAGCACTTAATATAGCGTTAGGTATTCATGTGTCGGTGGAAGAGATTGATCTGGGAAATTAATTGAATGTGTATTTTTTTAGTTTTGTGGAAGTTGAAGTAACTTCTGTGTAATCTATAAAGGCTTTGGCTTTAAGAGTGCTGCACGAGCTGTTTTAAAGGAGAGAGTGCTGGAAATTTTCTCAGACACAAAATGGCCGGGAAGACTTTGACAAAGACAGCTGAGAGTCAGTTGCTCAGAAGTCATTTTAGGGGAGCAGGTACTTGTCATTCTGCTCTCAGTTGTTTTGCTTTATTCCAGCCAGCTTTTTCAGCCTTCCCGCAGCAGACCCGGACCTGTTTGTTCTGAGGGAGTCTTTCATCCCAGCCTTTTTTCCCAAGCTCAGAGAGCCCGTGTTTCTTTACAGCTGTAATGTGAGGGACTCTCTTTCTTTCTACAGCCTTTTTAGTATCCCAGAAAGAAAAAGAGCAGCATAATAGGAGGCGCTTTTTTGGTTGGTTTGTGTTTTTTAGCTATGAAGTTAATCTTTGTTAATTTACTAGGTCTCTTCAGGCTGAATTGTGTACTGAAAGGAAGCTCACTGAGCCTTTGTGCTCCTTTCCGTGTTGACCTGCAAAGATCCGATTACTCGATTCCAACGTTACTGAAGTGACAAACAGATAAAAGTCCCTGCAGCAAGAGCTAAATGATCATGCACTGCATGATTTATTTCTTGCCTCCTCCATTCTTTTCTACTCTTCTGGGTCTGAGAAGTGCTCTGTTTAGAGAACGAGCTTCCTGGGATCAGCACTACCTCTCGCTGTGTTTTTACCCTGCCTGGTGAAACCGCAGCTTGCTGTAAAGCGTCTAGTCTCCCGGCAAGCCGTGGCAGAAGCTGGCGGCCCTGCAGCTCAGCGTTCTGTCAGAGCCAGTGCAAGTGATGAAGAAAATCACTGTTCCGTTGGCCAGTTTGTATGATGAATTTCGTTTGTGCCGTGGGTAAGAGCAGTTATTCTGGGGCAGACCCATGGCTCCTCTAGTCCAGGATCTCATTTCCATTAGTAGCTGTTAGCAGACACGGCCCGTGTCAGAGCTTGGCTCAGGACCACGCATGCAGATGCTTTTCAGATCACACTTCGAACATTTGCATTGGCTTGTTGAAGAGATGATTCTGCCGCAAGAATTTGTTAGAATTAGACTTTTGATTATTCTGCTGTTTGTCAGAGCTCTCCCTGAAGAAACAGTATTACAAAAGAAGTAATACTACTGTCACAGGAAAGGAATAACGTTGTAACAGTTATTAAAATAATTTATGCTAAGCAGCATTCATTATGTAGAAAAGCATGTGTTGTGATACCGCCAGGTACGGCAGTACTTCAGGCGTCTCAGCTGAGCGATGTGAGAGGCGTTGGAGTGCTCTGTGCTGCAGCTCGACGTCCCTCACGGGCTGTTTTTCTGCCTCTTGCAGCTCCCTCGCCGCTTCGGGTCCGTCTGATTTCACGAGTCGGTGCCTGCTGGAGGCTGCGCCTGTTGCTCCCTTTCCCCGTGTTGTTGGTCGTGCAGGCGGGTCCAGCCGCAAGCGAGCACTGCTGTGTATGTATTTTATATGCAGATATGTATCTATATGTATGCATATATACGTTTCAGCAGCTTTATGAGAAGGTGATTCTTCATGGTATTCAAGAGCTGCATTCTGCCTCAGCTAACGCTTGTCAAAAATCATGAAAGAGCCTGGCGGGTTATAAAGTCACACGTTAAAGGGGTGTAAGTTTAACCCGGGCTGAAAGCACCGTAACTGCGGAATGTGACTGCAAATGGTAAAAGACTGTTTACGTGCAGATAGAATTACACGTGCCCAGTGTGAGAAATGCAGAAATAAAAGGCACTGCTCACAGCGAAAATCCACTGAGCTGGATGGGTGTTTGGCCTCACGCACTGGAAACGTCCCGAGAGATACTCTGCAGATGCTGCGTTTTGTTGTGTCGTTACTCATGTCGCTGTGGTGTCTGCGTGCGTGCGGAGTCCTCAGACACATCCCAGCTTTCCCAAAAGGGTAGAAGATGAATTTAAATACTGAAAATGGGTACAGACTTAGCACTTTACTTTGATATCACACTACTTCTTGCAGTTTATATCGTACTGAAGAGTAGGGAAATACTTCACCTGCAGTCATTTTACATATTATCTGTAGTGCTGATGGTAAGCAGACTAGTTCAAACACAAATTGTGGACTAATACTCATGTTAGCTGGTTTTTCCTTGGCACAGTATTGTCTGCAACAGTACTTGGGGGGGGAAATCAGAGCAAGGAGAGGTCCAAGAGGCGGTCACGCCAGATGTGATTTTAAAAAACTGGCTTTTGGGCTGACATCTACATGTTTTGATTCCTCACTCCCCCACCCCTCACCAATAAAGAACAGTTAGTGTTTGCGTTTCTGCAGAGTGGTCTTGATTAGAGTGGAGCAGCAGTTCTCTGTAGCTAGAGCAGAAACATTTAAACTTTTTAAAAAGCATCAGTGGGTCTCTAATTGTAATTGTTAGACTGGAAGGAGCTGCACCATGCAGTCTTAGTGCAGAGAATGGCTAACGCTTTGCAGACAAGAGAAAGATGTGAGGTAGTTAGGGCTGGCTGGCTCTCTGGCACAGGATCTGTTTCAGGAGAAGTCCTTCAACTAGCAAATCTTCAACTAGCTTGTCCATTTTCGCTTGGATTCCTTCATCCCCTCTGTTTGGCGAGGTGTGAGTGCAGGCTGTGGGGTTGTTGGTAATCCTCACAGCACAGAGAAACGCGTACATGCTTCTGGGGACACAGACATGCAAAAATTCAGTATTTGAATGAGGCAAGTTTTGTTGATGAAGAATGGCCACGATGAATTAAACCGAAGGCTGATCTATCTGCTCTTGTTCCTGACAGCAGCAAGTAGTGGATTGCTAGGAAGTAAATTAAATAATACAGGAAACGTGATTTCTCCTGGTGTGCCTCCAGACACAGGCAGATACCTTGGACCATCTACAGTTCAGGGAATCGCTAAGCCACTTGGCTGTAGCCTCATCTGTGCCTCTAACAGTGCTTGAGAGGCTCTTCTTTCAGTAATTACTTTCAGTTGATGTAATCATTTGTTGAACTCTTGTATGCTCATTTTGAGGCAGAGTTTCACATTTTTATGATGCAGCGTACAAAAACATTTTGTCGTGACTGATTATTTAATCGAATTCTCCTGATTCTCCTGTTCCAAGCAGTCACGAGATTGTCTTTGCAGTTGCTCCCTCCAGGGCAGCTGTGGTTTCCCTCTGCAGGGAGCCTCTCGCCAGGCTGAGGAGTGACAGTCACTTCAGTATTCCTTTTACAGAAGTCACTGACTTGATCTTCATGCCTTACTGTGTTCTGCTGTGTTGTCTTCAAGAATTATTGTGGGCAAATTAGCACGCAAAATACGGTGCTCTGAAAAAGAGTCATTGGTCCTGTTTAGAGTCAGGAGTCGTGGGGATCCTGGTCAGGAGATCTTGGAGCAACGCCAAGGGCCCAGTAATTCCATGGTTAACATTTCACGGTTTAGTGCGGCGTCAGGGTGTCAGTTCACAGACCAGGCTATACCTGTCGTTCTTTGGTTCCCTCTAGAGTGCGGCTGTTGTGTTGGTTGTGCAGCAGAATACAAAAGCCAGCTCGCAGGGTGTTTGCTCTACAGACACCTCATGCCCCACCCACCGCTAAAAATTGGCGGCGTGTTTGTTTGCTGTCCAGGCACCGTTGCCAGAGCAGAGAGAGGAGACTGGGCCAGTTTTTCCATGCTTGTCTGCCTGGATACGTTATTAGTGATTTGATTGAATATATTGATATCTGGGTCTCATGAAAAGGTATGCTCTTTTTGTGGCTTTGAATCTGCTTATAAACCTGGCCCTGAAAAATAAGGTTATTTATGAGCATTCTCTTGTACTTGTTACTTTCTTACTATCCTCTCAGATAAGAATATGGAAGTATACCTATATATTTTTATGTCCCATTTTGCTATTAAAAAAAAAAAAGGCATCTTGAAATGCGGACGGTGAAGGCTGCTGTATAGAGAAGCTGGTGAAGTGTGGGCTGGAGGAGTGGATGGTGGGGTGGGTTGAGAACTGGCTGAAAGCCAGGCCCCAGGCCGATGGTCAGTGGAGCGAAGCCTGGTAGCTAGCAGTGTGCCCAGGGCTCAGCACAGGACCCAGTTCTGGTCAACTGCTTCATCAGCCGTCTGTGGGATGGGGAGGAGTGTACCCTCAGCAAGTTTGCTGGTGATAGGAAACTGGGAGGAGCGGCTAATACTGGGAGATCTTACCAATGTTTATAAATACGCAAAGGGAAGGTGCAAAGAAGATGGAGCCAGGCTGTGCGCAGTGGTGCCCAGTGACGGGACCAGAGGTGATGGGCACCAACGGGAGCACGGGAGGTCCCCTCTGAACATCAGGAAACATTTTGTCGCTGTGTGGGTGATGGAGCGCTGGCAGACGTTGCCCAGGGATGCTGTGGAGCCTCCATCCTTGGAGACACTTGGAAGACATGGTCCTGGGCAGCCGGCTGTGGGTGGCCCTGCCTGAGCGGGGAGGGGTTGGACCAGGGACCTACACGAGGTACCTGCCAACCTCAACCGTGCTGCGATTGTGTGGGACAAGACAGGGTCCATTAATGACTGTTTATGAAATGACAAAAGAATTGTAGCAGCTTGCTGAGAAAGTTGTGGGTTTCTTTTTAAGTTTGTTTCACAGAAGCTGTGTGGGCTTACCCCTTTCACTGTTCGTTTGTCTTTTGTAAGCTTGGAGTGAGCTACATGCTTCTGTAATGAAGTGCCTCTTCGGCTTGAGGGACTGGTCATAGGGGAGGCTTAGCATGACTCCACCTGAAAAATCCATGTAAAGGATTTTGCGATACTATTATGCAGGAGATGGTTGAAAGGTGTAATACCAATTAATTTGAAGACCTGTGTGCGTGGCTCAAGCTGCCTGCTGTTGGCAACCGTGGCCTGGGGCTCCCCCGCTCTCTTT